AAATAGCCACTGACTAAAGAGCCACTGGCTATTTTTTATCCTCACTATCTAAGAACTTCAGCTTGCTCCCTTTCCGGAGCCCCAGCCCAGGTTTGTCTAGTCATGTCTGTACATGGCTGTTGTTTCTAGCCACCATTAGTTAAGCAGTGTTGAATAAATGCAGAAAGTGTGCCGGGTTCTTGGGAAGGAGGAATTCGTTGTTCATGCTGTTTCTTCCCTTCCCTTACAGGGTCTATTTTCAAAGGATTCCAAGAGGCTGACATTCATTTCCGTCCTTCCTACAAGTTTGACATAGGAAAGGACAGCTATGACACCACTTCCAAACAAAGGACTCCTTCCTACACGGTAAGAGATGATTTCAGAGCAGCGTGCTCGGAAGGGCTGCGTAGCCTCCCATCGGCCTCCAAAGGGGATTCTCACCTGCGGGGAAAAAGCTGCCTTCCGCAGTTGGCCTGCATGAGATAGGGACGTGCTGAGATTTGTTGCTGAAGGGCAACAGGGCATGTGGAACTGGTTTGGAAGAAAGGATTGTTGAATCTGTGAGCACAGGGGGAGTCTGGCACAGGCTGCTCATCTTATTTTCCCTGCCTTACATCCTGTTCCAGTGCATTCTCCCCTTTGCTTAGAGCTGGGCACAGAACTGCTATTAGGATCAGATTCATTCTTCATTAATGTATCCCTGTCCAAGTGGAGTGTGATAAATGAATGGATTTGTCTTGTGAACCAGTGCTGCTTTCCAGGGTGGATATGCAAAGGGCGTTACCATCAGTCTCCCCTCTCTCTGCCTCCCAGGATCGAGTTGTATACCGCAGTCGGTACAGAGACGACATCCACGCTGTCAAGTATTCCTCTTGCCCTGTGATCAAAACTTCAGACCATCGGCCTGTATTTGCCTTGTTTCGAGTGAAAGTGAGGCCTGGCAGAGACAAGTTAGTACCTCCTTACGCCACTCTGTACGATTGCACATGGCTCCAGTGACCCTGAGGATATGCTCCTGTTCAGAGTTTGTCCTCTCAGGAGAGTCCCTGAAATAGCATTAATCCTGTGTAGCTCACTGTGCAGCCTGTTTGTTTTTTACCCAATATATGCTCTCAGTGGTCAGAGCAGTAAGAGCGCTTAAACCTTGCGCTGACATCTGAAATCCCTGCTGCCGGGTCCCTTAATCCTCCTGAGGGAGATAAACGGAGTCCGTTGCAGTTGACTATAAATCTGTGTTTCATCTGAGATGCAGCGCTCTGTTTTTTTCCTATCAGCATGGACAGCTTTCCTCTTCTGTTCCTCTTTCCCTGTTTGGGATCAGTGCAGTTTTCTCTCCCCAGTGGTGGCTGCGTTTCAACATAGCTGTATGTCAGTGGAGTATTTCGAGATCCTCCAAGTTTCGAAATGTCCACTGTGTGCTGCCATGCTAGTAGAACTCCTTAGAAGATTTGGTTAAGTCACTGAAATTTAGTCTTATCTTTTCTGTGAATAGCGTGCTCAGGGATTTCAAGACCCAGGTATCTAGAAAATGGTGATTTCTCAAAGCACTTGATCAGCAGTGCAATTAGAATTGCGATTTTTTTTTTTGTTTATGGGTATTAAATACCCATTAAAGAGAAGTATTGCGGAGTCTGTGAAGCTGGGCTCCTGGGGTTTCCTTCTGGCCTCTCTAGAACAGACCAAGGTAAGAACTGTTGTGCATGAACCATACCAGCGAATACACCAACCTAACACTAAGCTACTTTAACTTTAGCTTTTCAAATGAGTGGTTTGGGGTTTAGGGTCATAAAGAATGTCCTTCATGTGTGTCCCTTATGAATGCAGGCATGTTCATGCTTAAATTGAAAGTACATTTGCCTTTTACAACCAATATTTTCTTAATTTAAATGTATTGTGAAAAACCGTAACTTGTTGCTGTGGAAGAATTTTGTTTTACCTGGTTTTTTCCCACAGCAGTAGCTGAACGCCTTAAGAAAGCAAAAATTAGGTTTCTGGCCTTTGTTGTATGAACTAGTTGGGAAGCGTTGGGCAAACAAGAAGAATGTATTTGCACCCTGATGTAATTGCTTGTGTTTATATTGTAGCATTCCCCTGGCTGCAGGGCAGTTTGACCGAGAACTCTATTTAATCGGAATAAAGAGGCGGATTACAAGGGAACTTCAGAAACGGCAAGAGCAGAAGGACCAAAAATCCAGCAGCATATGTAGCATTTCCTGAGCTGAGAACTCTGCAATGCTTGTGGTAGTGGTGCCCGGAAAGAGGATTTCAGGCCACGGCAGACTCTGCAGGGAATTGTCTGCTTAAGCACCTCTGGCAGTTGCTGTGGCTTGGGCGAATGTCTTAAACCTCATCCTGGATTCATTTGCATGAGCTAATCCATGTAGCTCAAGTGCTTTTGCTGAAGAAAACGGAGTCAGTTGTTTAGGACATCCATCCCAACAGATGTAATTGATTTATTTTTAATCGTACTATCTTTGGAAGCAACCAGATGCAGTCTCTTGGTCCTAAGATGACTCCACGCAGGGGGCACAGCTTCTGGAATTGGCATGACCGGGGGCAGGGGACGTAAGAAAAGCCTGCAGAAAGGTGAAAATTTTTGTCTGTTTGATTTGATCTGGTTAGCTTACATAGATTGTGGGGTTGGTCTTTTTTTCTCCTTATCTGTAGCCAAGTGTACTGTGTTCTGTAAAATGCGTAACAGGGACCAGTTAGGGGACTCGGCAGTTTTCTGTGAGGATGGTGCTCCCGTGTTGGGCTTTTTTGGTCCTCTGCGGCAAGATCTGTGTGAATGTACTACTGTACATTTGAAGCGTAGAAACATTGCCTTTCAATAATTATTCTATAGGCCTTCTGTTACTAAGGGGGTGAATATCAATCTCTCACACCATATATTTGGCTGTTGAGACTGCTTGAAACAATTCCTTCCTGAGCTCACTTGCCCTCCCCAGGGGTGATAAAACACTACCTGCCTTCAGCAGCAGGACACGTGAGTTGAAAATAACAACCTAAGTACAGCTACTGTGTGATGCTTCACCAAAGTGATTAAGATGTCAGTGAGTAGTAGGGAAGTATGCAGACAAACTGCAGCAAGTCAGATCCGCAGAGTTCCATTACCTCTGATCACAGTTAATTCCTTTTGGTTTTATTTTTCCAATTCCGTGAACTGTGAATAACTTGCTATTTTTGAAGTAGTGTTGTCTTAAGGCTAAACATACTACATGGACCAGTATGGCACTGGTAAAATGTTAAGTACATCTAATACTTAAAAACTCTCCATGGGCACAGATCGGCTGGATCATTAATCACCTTAGTACAAAAAACACCATGCAAACAACTTGGAAGAAGTGCTGCTAACTATGCAACCTGTCCAAGACAGAGCTTCTGTTCCGCGGTACAAACATTTATGGCACTGACCTGTCTGTAGCCATCAGGTATTGGAATTTCCTTTCTTTTTAAAGGAATAAAAATAAATTAATGCAATACCTTAAATGAGAACCAGCTTTTATTGCAGGGTTGTCAGAACTAGCGTTCTTTGACTGTGATGCATGCTAACCGTTCGGGTGACCTGAGCCATTTGTCTTCAGCTGGAAACGCGGGACAGATTTCTTTAGGATCGTTTGCCTTGAAGAAACAAGGCGCATTTCACCTACCAGTTCAAGCAACCCCGCCATTAGCTGATGAATTGCAGAACTCTTACTACTTGCTCCAGTCATTTAGAGGTCTCTTTATTTTCTTACAAACATACACAACAACTGAATAGGACTTCCATACTGGGTTCCACAAGAAGCCATGCAACATGTTTTCTTCTGGTTGCATGAGGAAAGGTATGGGGAGAAAGCAGGTCATAGCTGCCTCAGAGTTCTGCTCCCAGTTTGATTGCTCCTTACGATACACATCTAGCCAGTGAAGTGCTGCAATGCCGCTGTCTACATTTTTAAGCCCATACGTTAGGGGATTATAGAAATCCAACGTTTTCTTCCTCTTTTGGGTCTCCATTTCCTCAGTATGTCCCACGCGTGGCATTTAGCTTCATGCCTGTCTGTAACGCGGTGTCAGTCACTTTCAAGATCATAAGCTTTCTGAATGTCATTTTGTTGATCTTGACTCCTAGCTGAGCGACATCTCTGCTGTGAGACTGACAATGATGTCTTCTTTTTGCAAGGCCTTAAGTGGAGAATGTAGGTACGAGTTCAAGGTGCAGCAGCAGCAACTCCTTTAATAACTTTGTTTGTATACCAACTCTGGAGTAAAAGAACTTTTATTCTTTAGCATAGTTCACTTGCAAGTGAAAAACCCGAAGAACAGGATCGCTTTCATTCTAGAGTAAGCGTCCGTGTAGCATTATGCACAGAATCTCTGTAGATGAACTCCACAGAAACTTAGTTACGCCATAGGTCTACTCTCCTCTGAGCTCTAGCAAAATTATGAAGTTATTTCCAGACATGTGACTTGTAGTAGTACTAAAGATGGCAAATCACGCTGATGAAATGGATCCATGATGCTTGTAACAAAACCTGGACTGCAGGAAACTTGTTGCCTAACTTCACATGGATAACTACTAGTATTTTCCTACTTCAGTTTGAGCAAGTCTTTTGTTCACCACGGTAACAGCTATAAATATTCTTTGAATTCAGATACATCAGCCAAGCTCTTTAACATGCCACCACATTCCACAAGAAGGGCGCACACCACGGCCTCCAGTGTGACAGCCCCACTTCTACTGCTGATATGATTGAGAGGTAACACACAGCAGTGACTTAATTCTTCTTAGATACACGCTTTCAGCTGTAGCGATGAATATTTTGGCTTGCTATGTTCTCCCCAGTGCCAAGAGAAGGCTGTATACACCCATCTTCTCTTGTAACCTACTCGGAGGGTCAAAGTACTCATCCAGAGCCAGGGTGGGCCTTTAAGCCCAACATAACGAGCTCTTCACAGTCCAGTGTTCTGAAGCAGCTTTGTTCAGCTCTAGCATAGCTCCATGTTTGCACAGTATGCCTGGAAAGATAGGGGGAAGGGCCTGCAGCAATATCATAATCTCAAAAACATATTAAAAAAGAAGCAAGTCTGTCAGAGGTGCAGGATGCACTGCTTTATCGAAAGAGCCGGTACATCCGAGGGAGTCGCCCATCCTTACTGGAAAGCGCTGCCTGGATGTGTTCGTAAGTGGGCAAATCTGTTAAGTCACCCAGTGCAGCCACAGCTGGTTTTTTATGAAGCATCTTAGTGACCACTCTCTTGATATCAGTAGATTTCACCTGACCTGCAGACAAAAAAAAACAGAGTTGTGACAACTGCATTCTAAATAGCACAAAGCAGCTTTATTATGATGCTGAGTCAGACCCCATGCTCAGAAAACCAGTCACTATCTTTAGACCTTCTCTACCTGAGAAGGTACCTGAGAAGGTAGAGAAGGCTCTGTTTTTTCCTTCTTTCTGACAAAAATAAGCCTTGTGCTAGCTTGCAAGCAATTGAGAAGATCAGTTTGAAATATGTATCTGTAGCATTTACGCCCCTAGGCTTTCTAAGGCAATTCATCTGTGCTACAAGAATATGTTTGTAAGGTGCCCCGCCCCAACCGTACCTACAATTCAGTCAAGGCAAGGAAAAGCATCGTCTACTCACTGATCAGGGCACAGAGCTCGTGAGGTAGCTTCCTTGTGTTTGTTGCCAACACTTGCCTTCCCACATCTTCAAAGATAACTGGCCGAGACTCAAGGTTCATCATGAGCATGGACTTCAGCTGCGTCTTCGCTCGCTCAAGTTCTACCTGTAAATGAGCAGCAAATACGAACAGAGGTTCAAAAAGTCTGGCTGCTGCTCTCTAATACAAGATACCACGTAAGAGTTCTGCAAACACCTTCCTCTCTGTGAGTGTGTTACTAAAGTTACTATATTCTTCTACAGAAATACATATCGTACGCATCTACAAAAATGCATCCTAGCAAGGCCAGTGCAACGCATTATTTCAGCTGAAAGGTGATCTGCGTAGTCTGCAAGTTAGGCTGCTGACCTCTCCTACTGCTCCTGCCATTAGAATGAATTCTCTTGTGATGATTTCCACCATCTCTCGAACCTAGGAACAACAGACAATTGAAAGAAGGTTAGAACAATGCTTATTCTGCTAACATTACTGTCTGGTAATAAGCGATGTGATTACTTTTTTAAGGACACCTGTCTTTGAATACAGGACTCTATACCTGTTTTGGATCTGCACTGGCATGTATACACAGGAGACCTGTATCCTCATAACTGTGGTGGTAGGAGGTGGCATTATACATCCAGTGGTGCCTGTGAGTATACAAACAGTATTTAAAAATTTAAAAAAAGAGAATTTGAATGTAAAAATTAAAGAAACATGGACAGCGAGTCCCCTCCTAGGGCATTTTCCGGATTTTGAGCAGTGCCAATCGTCAATCCCTGCCTCTAACAATTTCTGCATGTGCCATCTACTTCCTTCTCTCCACTTGCATCCTTGAGACCAAACCCAGAAGAATACAGAGCAGTATTACTGGTACCTACTGCCAGTTCTGTTAATATCCCCTGGTTAAAGGATGGATTGGGCTAGCGGAGGAAGACAGGATTCCTAGCCACTTGTGCCCTTCATTTTCACCCTCTCAAAATGCCCACTGACAAATCGGCCCTGCATGTTTCAAGTGGAATAAGCTGACGTAAAACCTAGGGGTGTTGGCTTTCAAAAGATGAAGCCTTCCATGTGAGCCCGCTAGAGAAGACTGTTTCTGCTATCCCTTAAACAGAAAGGCAAACCAACCTGTTGAGCACATTGAGATACAGTCGGGTGAACATGCCCTTGCCAGGCCCTCCAGCTGAAAAAGAGCCACCACCTCCCATCATCATGTTTAATACCGCAAAGGGAATGAAATCTTCCTCCTGAATTGCAACAAGAAATTCCGTCAGCTAACAGCAGAGCTCTCAAAGGTCTGAGATGAGTAAAGAGGAAGAAAAAGAGCCAGAAAGAAACACGGCACAAGAAGAGTGTAAAGGTCAGCGCCTTCCTCAGACTGTCAGTGGAAAAGCTGCCTGTCTGTACATGCAGCAACAGCAGCAAGAGTGCCAATGTTTACATAATGAGCTAGTATTCTGGAATTCTTCAAGTACAGGGCACCCAAACCAAAGGATTTTAGGTTAATACTTACTAAAAATGAGCAGCTTTCTAACCCAATCATGATGTGGGTGAGCTCTGGGATGGGAGTAGGGCCCAGGCTCACATCTGACATATCTTTTTCAACCTGTGGGAAGGGCAGGCAAATTATTAGGACCGATTTTCACCTCTGTTGTGTCCCGCTTGATACATTCCCAATAATTAACCTGTCACCCACATAATGGCTGTCGTGGCCAGTTTTGGCTTGTATTCATGAACAGTATGTAATTTTAAAAAAGCAAAGCCTACAGAGAAATCAGTTGAAGTCCAAATCTACACCTCCAACAGAGAGGAAGAGGCACGATGCCACCTCGACCTTCCTTTTACCTTGACAATGCCTCCTGTGTACTGAGCCACAGATCTGTCCACGTCCTTGGTCTGTCCACTGCCCCACACCGGCTCCACTCCAAGCAGATGCTTCTTCGCACACTCCACTAACTGCTCGTGCTCAATTCCCACCCCGGCAAGCACCATCCTGTCTGGCGTATAGTAGTTGCGCAGGTACGAATGCAGGACTTCTCGATCGATTTTGTCAGTATTTTCCACTGGGCAGAACCTGTTCAGTCCAACTGTATTGTCTCTGTAGGCTGCCTAATAGCAAAGAGACACATTAAAGTAACAAATATTACTTCACCCCCCTCCATCTAACCCTTCTCTTTCTGTTTTAGAATTATGCCTACCTGTTTGAGACATGTATGAGAGGAAAGGCCGAGCATTATTTCACTAATGTCAGTGTAACTCAACAATGCGTTGTCACCCATGTCAACAAAGATAAGTTATAGATAGTTTTAGTTTACGTTAAAATCTTTCATGTGTGTAGAACGTAGGATTTCGAAGTGGAGGGACAGCAAAATTCTCCCTCTTACCACTGAAATCTAACTGAATAACAGAAAAATCTGTTTTCAGAGTAGTCTAAAATAAACCCTGAAGCTGAGGAAAAACTGAGGAAGAGAACGCAGCGTGTCTCGCACAGGGGACTGCACGCGAGGTAGGCTTTTCAGTGTTTTACCGCATGGATCATTTCTGTGAGGAGAGGCTCTGGATCAGGTCTCATATTCAAGTCTTCAAGCTCAAATCGTATAGCCGCGCGAGTCATCTCAATTTCTTCATCTGTAATAAGAGAGAAAGAAAGAGATAACAACCACTACGCAAAATACCCAACTGCTACATGATAACTTCTTGATGTGCACGATCTAACAAAGAATTCTGAAATCTAATAGCAAGTCATGCATTCGGAGGCTTTTTTTGAGACAGACTTATGTTCCCAGACCTGATAACCTGGGCTGCAGCGCTACATCAGCCAGCAAGTTGACCACTGTGTCCAGGCCTTTGGCATCAGCAGAAACCGCGTACATTATGGTGTCCCTGCAACACAAGCAGACGGGTTCCGCACTGAGAAGTCACATCTAGGACTGTTCAGTAAATGCGCATCAGGAAATCACGGATAAAGCTGCTTGACCATTACCATTAAATGCGTTCAAAAGGAAACAGAACTGACTTTTATCACCCTTTCAGGTTCACTTTTGCAGCTTCTTAGCAGTCGCCACAAATGGATTTCTGCCACTTAGAAACTGAAAGTGGCTTTTACTGTCACACGCCAGAAAAAGCAACTCAAAAACTGCTGTCAGTGTTACAACCACTCAGGTAACAGAGCACAGAGAAAGAGCGTCATACCTCGATGCCTGGCAGTCACAAATGCCCCCGTGCTTTTCTAAGGTGAGGAGAATTTCATCTTTGCTGCCAAACTGAGCTGTGGACTAAGAAAGAAAATACCAGCGTTATGAATTAGTAAAACCATAACTGTTTAGAATCCTTCAGTGTAGCCCAGAACAAGCATCTTCTACATTCTTTAAGTCAAATGGTTTGCTAGATACTCACTAACGTTGGAGGTGAAAGCAGAACAGACTTTCAAAATATAATTATTGTTACAATAACTAAGTAAGAATAGTTAACACCATCTATTAATATAACTATATTATATCAATATTAATAGTTATCACCATTTATTTAAAGGGATCAACCCCAGCGTGCCGCTGCGAGGAGTGGGCCCTGCCCTCGGCCGCTCCCGCGCTTCCCCGGTCACTCGCTGCTGGGCAGATTTACGGTTGTTTCGCACAGACCCCGGGACCCCCCTACCACAACACGGTACTCACGGAGAACGCCAGCTTTTCCAAGAAGTGAGAGATGCCGCTGAGGTATTTCGCTTCGTGTCTTGACCCCGAATTTATAAGAACTAGCGTTAAGAAAAGAAAAAATCAGCACGATTCGTACCCCCGCCCCGGTCCTTGCGCACACGTCGGGCAGCCGGGGGAGGTGAAGTCTTGCCGCCGCGTCCCCGGCCAGGCCTGCGGGCAGGGCCGGTGCGGCTGTGCCCAGCGCAGGCCGGGGCAGCGGCGCGGGCCCGGGCCCCCGCGGGTACTCACGGCCCACGGTGCAGAACTGCCCGAACTTGTTCTGGGAGGCGACGCGCAGCCCGTTCTCCAGCACCGTCACCCGCGTCTCCAACC